AATGGGCGCTCCCGGGCGGGGGGCGGGGCTGTATTTCAGCTCCGGCCGCGGGCGCGCGGCGCGTCCCGGGCTCAGAATGTGGCGCGTCCCCGGCCACCTCTGCGTGCGCTTCGCCGGGCGGAGCAAGCTCTCGGGACCTTGGAGCAGGCCGGCCGCCTTCATGTCCACTCTACTCATCCACCAGCCCGAGTACGCGTGGCTGAAGGAGCTGGGGCTCCGCGAGGAGAACGAGGGCGTGTACAATGGAAGCTGGGGCGGCCGGGGCGAGGTACGCGGGCGCCCGGGGAAATCTCTGCCGGAGGCTCCGTCCGCCGCGCGAGGCCGGCGGGCTCTGCTCAGCCCGACTCCCGCTGCTGCCGTAGGCGGTTGAACGGGTGGAAAGTTTCGAGCTCCACCGGAAAAGTTTCTCCGAGCAGGGTGCCTTAAAACACCCCTAGACGTTAGGCCCTTGTGCGCGGTGGAGAGTCGGTTCCATGCCATTTGGGGGCTGGTTGGGGTTGGCTGGGGCTGTTGGGGTTAGATTTTTCACGCATATTTACAGCCTTAGGGCCGACTTCTGCCATCTGCACTGAGAAACGCCCCACGCTTAACGGCGGAAGTTACCTTAATTTTGCGCTTGACTGTGGCTCCTGAGATGTGACATCTGCGCCAGGGGCAATGCTCTACAATAAATACAGCGTCGCACTGTCTTCTTTCTGAATCCCTGTGGGGTGTGCAAGCTCGGACTTCCTGAAACCTTTGTTTTCCCCCCAGGACCGGTTTTCCTGCATTTCTGTTTCCAGAGCCCAGCACCGTGCCTGGCGTCCAGTTAGCGCTCCATAAAACGTTCCCTAAGATATGATGGAAAGGCAAAGCACTTATCGCCTAGATCTTTTGAGAGTCGCTTAGGGAAGAAAGTTTTTGGAATAAAATGTTATATAACATGCCACAGGCGGCGTGCATGTTATATAATGAACGTGTTTTGTTAGAGGAAACGCCTTCCCTTTAGTGGTTGTGGGAGACTCAGGTGGTTTTAATACACCCCACTCAATTGGTAGTTGCCTATTTCTGTTTTTCCCATGGCATCTAGTCGTTAGCTTCTTGGATAATCTAGTTCCTCCTGAAGGCCTTTTCAAAAGAAAAATTTTTAATAATAGTTATGCCTTGATGATTTTTTTTCTTTCTGTTGATCGTTTCAGTTTGTGCGGACACAGGCCATACCCGTAGTTGTTTGGCTTTGGCTATTTTATCTCATGACCAGAGGGTGGGCAGCGTAAGGGAGAGAAAATACGTAAAACTTGATTTTGGTCTATTAATGGAAAAAGGGACGAAATAACAGGTTACATTTAGATTTTTGTTAATGTACCTAATACTTATATGTCAAGAGAGGGTTTTGCAGAAAGATAGTTCTAAATGTTTAGGTCAAAATGAAAAGCTTTGTAGAGTGGCTTATTTGTAACAGAAGTTAAGGTTCCGAGATTGGATATTTTATCTTCGTCTTTTTTCTTCTTCTTCCTTTTTCTCTTCCCTCATTTGGTCTGTTCCCCTAATTTGGATGGGCTTACATTTTCTACATATGATTGCCATTTTTTTGTTTTTAGGTTATCACGACCTATTGTCCTGCTAACAATGAGCCAATAGCAAGAGTCCGACAGGTGAGTACTTCTATTTTTCATGCAAACCGTCTACTTGGAGTTATTGGGAGTGATTAAGAGCTATAGGAAATTACAAAGTCAAAGAACAATGTTTCTTTTTCATTGACATTTAAGACTGTCCACTCTTCCCAGTGGAGGTGTGTTCGCCCTAGAACCATAAAGAGGACTAGGAGAGAGGGGGTCCCTAGCTTCTGAATCCCCTGGGGACTCCTAGAACGAAGTCCCCATAAATCGGGTTGGAGCCCGAGGTTCTGATATTCCAGTACGCCTCAGGTGTTGTTTGAGAGGCGGCTAACAGACAAAAAGCACACCTAGATTCTACCTGTCTTACTTACTGGATTCCAGCGAGTTTGGGAAAGCATGCGCCATGAAAATAATTTCAAACCACAAATTTTAGGGCCGCCCAGAGATTTCCAATTCTTTTCCAAAATAGTCTGTGTGTTCTTAGGAGATCATCACTTTTCCCTTTGTCTCCACCTAATTCTTTTTTTTTTTTTTTTTTTTGTTACACCCTCTTCTCCCCTCCTTAATTCTTAATGTAGGCTAGTGTGGCTGACTATGAAGAAACTGTAAAGAAAGCGAGAGAAGCATGGAGAGTCTGGGCCGACGTAAGTACGGAGGCCATGGCATGATTACTTACTGTAGTGCAATGAGGTAAAGAAGCATCTGGTGAGCAGGCCAGTGCCCCTGGCTGCAAGGGGAGCCCTTTGGGGGCTGTGATAATCTCTGCTATAGTCTTAGAATAGTGCCTTTTACATATTGGGCCTTCAGTGTCAATGGGTAGTTAAAAAAATTATTTTTATTTTTATTGCTTTTTAGAGAGAGAAATAGAGAAACATCCATCGATTGCCTCTGTCACACACTCCAGCCATGGATCGACTCTGCAACCTGGTTATGGGCCTGGACCAAGAATCGAACCTGCCACCTTTTGGTGTACGGGACACCACTCCAACCAACTGAGCCACACAGGCCAGAGCATCAGGGGGTAATTTAAAATGCATTAAAACTCTTACTAATAGCCCTGGCGACGTGGCTCAGTTGGTTGGTCCTCTCCGATGCACGGAAAGGTTGCAGGTTGATTCCTGGTCGGGGCCCATAACCAGGCTTCCCCAGTAATGGGTGGGCAGGAGGCTGCTGATTGATGGATGTTTCTATCTACCCCCCTCTCTCTAAAAAAATAAAAATACTCATTTGCTTCTTCTCCCTGCCCACCAGCTCTATGGGAGGTGAATGGGGAGTTTCTCAGAAACAGATTCACATTTCTGGTTCACAGGGCAGTGGTGGCTGCCCTTCCAAAGGGCAGGGGCTGGAGTTCCTAAACTGTCTATACCAGCGGTTCTCAACCTGTGGGTCGAGACCCCTTTGGGGGTCGAATGACCCTTTCACAGGGGTCGCCTAAGACCATCGGAAAACACATATATAATTACATACTGTTTTTGTGATTAATCACTATGCTTTAATTATGTTCAATTTGTAACAATGAAATTGGGGGTCACCACAACATGAGGAACTGTATTAAAGGGTCGCGGCATTAGGAAGGTTGAGAACCACTGGTCTAAAGGCTTTGAGGTGGGTTCTGCCTCCTCCACCTCTGAGTCCACCAGGGGTTATGTGAGCAGATGTAGGGACAGAGTGGAGTTTGGCCCTGCTTCGCTGTCACTAGGTGAGGGCCAGTTCTCTGGAGGAGGGGAGAGTAAAGAACAGGGTTAGCCTGGATTTCCTAATCCTCCCTCACCTCACCCTGAATATCCCCTTTGGTCTGGCACCAGAAATTCTAGACCTGTGGCTGGAGGAATATCCTGGGGTTAACCCAGCTCTACCCCTGGGGAAATTCACCTCAGTGTGCTTTGTCATGTAAAAAGGGGAGACTGCCCACTTCCTGGGTTATCACGGAGGTAAAAACGAGTCACGAGTCACGTAAAATGCTTACGGGAGAGCCTGGCACATGGCAAACCTCTACCTGCCAGTGATAAAAGCACGTGCTGCTGGGTCTGGAACTGTTGAGCTAAGTGTTGCTTTGCTGTTTGCTGAGAGACCTCTAATGTGCAAAGCTCGAGGAACATTTTTCCGCTGATTTAACTAATTCTTAGACTGAGGGTTCCATTATATATAATAAAAAGTATGCCTGAGCAGGAAAATACCACTTCCAAAGTCAGCAGTAGCTAAGTAAAGTTCCCCCGCCTGCGCAGAGAATAGTGTCCAGAGCAGCGTCATTCACTGTCATGCTTTAAACATAACTTTTCTTTCTGATCATAAAAGTAATGCATATTTCCCACTTTTAAAAAAAATTGGATGATGCAATAAACAAGATAATCAAATTTACCTTCTCAATACAAATACTTTTCTTGAGTCTGCTGGGTCTTGAATGCCTTCAGCACAGAGCAATCCACTTGTCCAAGGGCACGTTCTGGGGTGGCACAGAAAGTGCGGAGCTCCCCGGCTCCCGTCATGCTCCGCAAGTTTATTAACATGTTGCATTAATGTGAGACATTTCTTACAGTTGGTGAGCCGATATTGATACATTATCACTAAATATATAAAGTTCATCATTTATATTAGGATTTCACCTTTTATACACTGTTTTGAATGCCTGTGAAACATTTGACCAGAAACATCTATTATGTGTGTGTATTTACCCAGGGCAAATATAATCGTGTTTGACAAAAGAGTTAGTGTGAATTCAGGATCTTTTCTTTTTTTAAAATATGTTTTCATTGATTTTTTTAGAGAGAGAGGAAGGGAGAGGGAGAGAGAGGAAAACATCAACATCGACCGGCTGCCTCCTGCAGGCCCCTGCCCGGCATCGGGGTCTTTTCTCCTGAACCGGTCTGCACATCCCTCTTTGCTCTAGGGTGGCAGCTGCCGTGTGACGTTAGTTCTGGGCTGTACCTGGTTGGTGTTTTCCCTGCCAGGGCCTCGTTTGGTAGTCTGCTCTTACTCAGCAGTGCCGGACTCTGCGCCTTCCATCCTTCCTCAGACTTCCCAGGAGAACGGGGGCTGCCAAGTGGGAACAGGTTGCTTTTCTGGGTGATGGTAGAGTCAGTTGGGGATCCACTTGCTGGAATTCGTGTTAAGCAATTGAGTTCAAAGTTTAGGGATGAGAGAGACTTTCCTAACTGTGCCTCCCATCGGTTGGCCTTGCCTGTGTGAGGACAAACTACTGTGTCATTTAGTTCATTTAAGTTAAGCCGGGAATTTGAAGGGGAAAGGAACAAAGTATAAAAATGCGGAAGACTAGTTGTAAGAACTGATTTCTTCCTCTGAACTGGAACTTGCCACAGAGAACCAGGTTGGTTCCAGATGCTGCTTTCTTTCATGAGCCGGGTTCAGCTCGCTGTTTCTGCCCCTCTGCCGCCTCGTGTGTCCTCTCCATCTCTGGTGAGGATAAGCCAGAGCCTCTTCCCTCCCTTCAGGACAGGAACTGTTAACGGCCATCGTTAGCGGAATGAAGGAGTAGCAGATACCTGGCAGCTCTTTATCATGGGTGTCATTGTAGTAATTCCTCAAAGGCTCAGCTAATACTTCCCTCCTAATTCTTAATGTGACTTCACGGGTGAAGTGTGCAGGGACGAGGACTCTTGCTGCCACCTCAGGAGGGTCTGAGAGTACTGATGCCTGGTTAGGCAAGGCCTGAACAAGCTCCCACTGGAGATGTGGCTTTCTTCCTTGTTTCCCACACACCTCTCACTTCACTTTCCCAAACCTAGTCCTGGGTTCTCAACTCTTGCTTTTTGTGCAAATCATCTGGGAAGTTGGGGAGGAGGGGGGAGGGGAAGGGAATGCCAGCCCTGACTGGCATGTCTGTGGTTAGAGTGTTGTGGGTTCAATTGTCGGTCAAGGGCACTTACTTGGATTGCAGGTTTGATCCCCAGCCCAGGTCAGGGCACATGCGGGAGGCAACCAACTGATGTGTGTCTCTCACATTGATGCTTCTCTCTCTGCCCCCTCCTCTCCTCCCTCCTACTCTCTCTAAAAAATCAATGGAAAAAAATCCTTGGGTGAGGAATAACAACAACAACAAAGATGTCAGATTTGAGTGGCCTAAACTGGGATCTAGCTATGACCAGTGTGGGTGAGTTGTTGTGTGTCATGTGTACACCAAGAGGTTGCCAGTTCGATTCCCAGTGGGATCTATCCGTGGTAGGGATAGGGAATGTGCAGTAAGTAGGTAGCCGATGGTTGTTTCACACTCACATCAATGTTTCTCTCTCTCCCTTCCTCTCTGAGTAGTCAGGGTTGAGAATCAATTTTAAATTATCAAGTCTTGAATATCTTTTTTAAAAATGTGTTTTTATTGATTTCAGAGAGAAGAAAGGAGAGGGAGAGAAAGATGGAAACATTGATAAGAGAGAAACATCCATTGGCTGTCTCCTGCATGCCCCCCACTGGGGATTGAGCTGGCAACCTGGGCATGTGCCCTGATCAGGAATCAACCGGCGACCTCCCAGTGCATGGGATAGTGCTCAACCACTGAGTCACACTGGCCAACCTCAAGTCTTGAACACCTTAAATTACATTTCTCTCTGCTGCCATTTTTGTAGTCCAGGCAGCCACCACCTCTGGTCTGGCCTAATGGTCTTCCTATCCGATCCTTGTTTCCCTCTGATCCATTTTCTATATTACAATTAGAGTGATATTTTAAAATGTACTGTGATCCACCACCCTCCTTTCCCCACCACCATTTAAGGCCCTCTGGTAATTGCCTCACTGTTTTTGAATCCTATATATGGCCCTTTGCCATGTGGCCCCTGCATTTCTCTCCTGCCTCTTTGAACTCCTTACAATTTTCCAAAACCACCATATTTTTTCTTGTCTTTTGGCCTTTGCATTCTACTTTCTTTTTATATATTTTAAAATACGTATTTATTGATTTTAGGGAGAGAGAAAGAGAGAAACGTGGTTGACTGCCTCCTGCATGCCCCGTACTGTGGATTAAGCCCACAGTAATGTTCCCTGACTGGGGATCAAACCCACAACCTTGGCATATTGGCATGACCCCTTGACCACTGAACTACCTGGCTGGGGCTTAGAATTTATACTTTGAATCAGACACTAAAATTCCATTTTTTTCTTAGATTCCTGCTCCAAAGCGAGGAGAAGTAGTGAGACAGATTGGTGATGCCTTGCGGGAGAAGATTCAAGTACTAGGAAGCTTGGTAAAGTATTTTTGTAGTAAAAATATAATCCTTTGAAGATAAATAAGATTATCATACATTTCTCTATGTAAGATTGATTTTATTTTAAGGTTTTTTTGTTTTCTTTTTTTTATCCTCACCTGAGGATATGTTTTTATTGATTTGAGAGAGAGAAACATCAATGTGAGAGCAAAACATTTGGCTGCCTCCTGCACACCCCTACCAGGATTGAGCCCACAACCCAGGCATGTGCCCTGACCATGAATTGACCTGGCAACCTTTCGATGCACAGGATGATGCCCAACCAACTGAGCCACAGTGGCCAGGGCAAGATTGTGATTTTTTTTTCTTTTTTGGTTTTTCTAAGATTGTGATTTTTATGAAAAGCAATTTATACATTTCAAGAGTCTTTTCTCTACAGGAAAGATGAACAAGACAGGAAAAAGTGAAGACTATTCTTGAGTTTTAAAATTCTTCAGAAAAATAAGAACAGATTTTCTAAAGTTTATTGCCTTCACAAAAGAGACACAAAATATGTTTTGCATCTCCCCCTCTGATCATTTTAATGTTTAAAACATGAATTCTGCTGGGAAATGTAGCTTGGCTTTTTGTATTTTTAGGTGTCTTTGGAGATGGGGAAGATCTTAGTGGAAGGTGTGGGAGAAGTTCAGGAGTACGTGGATATATGTGACTATGCCGTTGGCCTATCACGGATGATCGGGGGACCCATCCTGCCTTCTGAGAGTAAGCAGTGAAGTCACGTAGGCTAAGAGCTCCGTGTTCTGTTACAGAGAGCTCCAAAAATGCCTTGGCTGTGATCAGTTTGCAAAAGAGGACTTGTAAGTGGCATATAAATGAATGAAAATGTCTTCACTTTTTATAGTCAGAAATGTAAATCGAAACAGATGAAAACATCAGAGTGAGACACTGGAAAACTTATTTTATTATTAAGAGTATTACAGAAAAATTTATTTTCACTTATTTATTTTTTAAATATGTTTTTATTGATTTCAGAGAGGAAGGGAGAGAGAGAGAGAAAAAAAAACATCAATGATGAGGGGGGATCATTGATTGGCTGCCTCCTGCACATCCCCCACTGGGGATTGAGCCTACAATCAAGGCATGTTCCCTGACCGGGAATTGAACTGTGACTTGTGGTTCATAGATCAATGCTCAACCATCAAGCCACGCCAGCTGGGCTATTTAATGAAATTAATTAATTAATTTATTTATTTATTTTAATATATATCTTTTTTATTGATTTCAGAGGGGAAGTGAGACGGAAACAGAGAGATAGAAACATCAATGATGAGAGAAAATCATTGATTGGCTGCCTCCTGCATGACTCCTCCTGGGGATCGAGCCTGCAACCCATACATGTACAACTCTGCAACCCCATCATGCCCTTGACCAGAATTGAACCTGGGACCCTTCAGTCCACAGGCCAACGTTCTATCCACTGACCCAAACCGGCTAGGGCTATTTTTTTTTTTTTTTTTAAGATAAAACTCAGTGTTGGCAAGTCCGTGGGTTGACAGACACTCTTATGAGGACTCGTGGTAACATGAATTGCCCATCCATCTGGAAAACAATTTAGAAATAATCCAAAGAGCCTTACATTTAATACCAGTTTCAAGAATCTGATTTGAGTAAATAATTTGGATGTGACAAAGGCTTATGTGCAAAGATGTTCATTGTGGTATCAATAGGAAACATTAAAAATGACCTGTCAATGCCATAAGGCAAAGGCTGAGCTCATGTTGGCAGTCTGTTAGCAGGTAAAAAAAAATCCTGTTTATGAAGATTGCCTGCCTCCAACCCCACACTTTTATGGGAAGGTTGTATTTACTTATTTTAAAATGATTTTTATATTATTTTTTGAAGAGATGATATACTCATATCACAAAATTAAGAAGAAATTAAGGAGTAAAGGATGAAAAGTATTTCCCCTGGGTACTCCATAGTATCCCCATGGAAGTAGTTTCTGGTTTCTTATATATCTTTTTAGAGCTTTTATTCACTTATAGGCAAATATGTGTGTTGTGGAAACAGACATTAGCAAACTATACATTCTACTCTCTGTTTTTTCTACTTCAATGGGTCTTGGACATTGTTTCATATTCTGCCATTAAGCGACTTCCTTCATCTTTTTTTATGGCTGTGTGTTTGTTGTAAAGATCCTATACGTAATTTGTTCAACCAGTTCCCAAGCGATGGATGTTCTCTAGCTTCTACTGTCACACAGTGCTGCAAGGACCAGCCTTATACTCTGGGAGGTTTCCATGATGAGCATAAGGGCTTATGTGATTTGTCCTTCTTGCAGCTTTGATAGAGCAAACATGATTCTGTGTGGCTGCATTGAAGATAAAGGGCTGGAAGTCTGCCAGAGTGGTGACAGTGGTTATAGTCATCTTTCTAGTTTTTAAAATTTCCATGTATGGTAATTATGATACATTTATGATCTGAAAAGAAAAAAATATACATATATATTTTAAATATGTTTTACTGATTTTTTTACAGAGAGGAAGGGAGAGGGATAGAGAGTTAGAAACATCGATGCGAGAGAACATCGATCAGCTGCCTCCTGCACACCTTCTACTTGGGATTAGCCCACAACCAAGGTACATGCCCTTGACTGGAATCGAACCTGGGACCCTTCAGTCCGCAGGCTGACACTCTATCCACTGAGCCAAACCAGTTAGCGCAGAAAATATATATATTTTTAAAGAACATAATATTAATCTATGCATGGTCTTGGGGTAACTTTGACCTCATTAATGCAATTAATGTTTATTGCATGTCTACCAGTTGCCAGATGATCTAATAGGTGACACTTGATCTAAATAAGGCATAGTCCTTGTCCTCAAGGAATTTATAAGCCTATAGATTCCTTACATTTAAGAGGAGAGGCAAGTGGGAGATAAGAATAATAGAACATGGTAAGTACTGTGATGGGTGGAGAATAGGATAATGAGCCCCTAAGCTAGCCAGAGAAAGTAAATCCAGGGCCTCCCAGAAAAGCAATTGAAGTTTAGATTTCAGGGCAGTGAGGCAGACATTTAAAATAGGCATTTTAAATAAGTGAAAGCTTAGTGTCCTAGCTGGTTTGGCTCAGTGGATAGAGCATCGGCCTGGGCCTGCAGACCAGAGGGTCTCTGGTTCGATTCCCGTCAAGGGCACCATATCTTGGTTGCAGGCTCTTCCCTGGCCCAGGCCCTAGGTGGGGCACGTGCAGGAGGCAACCAATCGATGTGCTTCTCTCTCATTAATGTTTCTCTCTGTCCCTCTCTCTTCCACTCTCCCTAAAAATCAATGGAAAAATATCCTCGAGTGAGGATTAACAACAACAAAATAATAATAAAAAAATGAAAGCTTGGGATGGGAGAATGTGTCCTATTTGGGGAACTGTATGGTTTTAGCACAGCTGGAGGACAGTATGAGGGGGACTGTGGGTGGTGGAGCGGAAGTGGGAAGAGACTGTTCCTGATGGGGAGATGCACTTTAGATGGGCATCTACAGTAGTGACCCAGACACCAAAGGGTTTTAAGCAGGGAAGTGTTATCAGCTGCACTGGCCTCCCTGGGGAGGAGGATGAGGAGGGGAGGGTAGAGGTGGAGGAGGCAGGTCCTGCCAGAAGGAGGCAGAGCCAGCACATCATCTGAAGGGAGTTTAGGGTGCCTAGACCAAAGGGTGTCTGTGGATGCAGCAATGGCGGCTTCCCTGTGCCTAGCTAGCTGTGTGAGCGTGGCCAGAAAGATGCATGGCTGGGAGCTCCGCCTTTCTGGTTGGTCTGGTTTTGACTCCTCGCTTCACTGCTTTGGTTGCCCTTGATTAAAATGACCAGAGTTCCTATAAGGATCAGAGACACTGTGTCTGTCATTAAGGTTGGTGTCATAACAGCTTTTGTAGTGTGTTAATTAATGAACCAATGTCCCGCAGCTATGCAAAGTGATCCACGACGGGGCATCTGGAATCCCCACTGGGTCCTGTGCGCCTTTGTTCTGAAAATGAAAGCTAGCAGACTGATTAACTTGACATGCATTAAATGAACACGCTTAAGCATGCCTCTCGCCTCCCCCTGTCCTCAGGACCTGGCCATGCACTCATTGAGCAGTGGAATCCTGTAGGCCTGGTTGGCATCATCACTGCATTCAACTTCCCTGTGGCGGTGTATGGCTGGAACAACGCCATCGCAATGATCTGTGGGAATGTCTGCCTATGGTGAGACCTGCTCACTTTCTTTTCCAGTGATAGGTGATAAAAGTAGCCATTGTTAGGAACTAGCAAAAGTATTTTAAATGTATTGAAATCTGTTCTACTACTCTAGTCTTTCTTTTTTTGTTGTTGAGATTTTTATTGATTTTTAGAGAGAAAGGTAGGGAGAGGGAGAGAGAAGCATCCATACCAGAGAGACACCTCTTGGTTGCCTCCCACACTGTGTCCTGACCAGGGCCAGGATGGAACTTGCATCTTGGAACCTGCAACCCAAGTGAGGCCCTTGACTGGGAATCAAACCTGGGATTCTTTGGTCCGAGGGCTGATGCTCTAACCACTGCTCAGTGGCCCAAGGTATTTGAAAGCTCTATGCCAGAAACAAAGACCAGTTAAATAATCTTTATTGTACTATATTCCCCAAACAGAAAACTAAATAAATAAGTAGGAGGAAAAAAGAACTTTCGATAAGTCACAACATTCTTTTTAAAGCTTGACTCTCTTTTCTTCAATAAGAATTTGATAGTGAATTTCTAAGTTATTCTGAAGCCCTTGGCCAGTGTTCCCATTGATGCATTAAATTTTACATTTTATGAACTATTTGATAGTACAAGTGAAGTGAGAAAATGTCAGCATCTTATAGATGACAAAACACTGATTTCAACTTTCCTGTTCAGTGGAAGAACTAGATTTGTCCTTGCCTGTTTAGCATCTTACCGCTAGTTATAGGCTGATCTAAATGTAGTCAGTTGACTGTACTCAAAGACTGTCTACAAAGCAAGGCTTAGGTGGGAGGATTAATCATTTGGCACCATGTTGCCAAAGGGACCTGTGCTTTCTGGCAGCTCACAAGCCTTCCAACATAAATCATGTTGATTTCTGCTTCACTCAGTTCCCATGATTGGCAGATATTAATGCAGCAGTTCCTATGAGCAGTGCAGCAAGCAGGTTAAAAATTGCTTTTTGTCGTTTTTATATTTATGAAAGTTTTGTAGTCTGCTAGGTCCCAGAGACGCCATGCTGAAGGACAGGTTCCTATTTGTTATGAGAGGCTCTGTTGTCTAAAAAGACTTGCTTCTGCTTGATAATAAAAGGTCTTTAAGATTTCCACCAAATTAAATGGACTTTTTTTTTTTTTTTTTTTTACCCTGTAAAGGAAAGGAGCTCCAACAACGTCCCTCATTAGTGTGGCTGTCACAAAGTGAGTATGTGTGGCTTTCTTTTTCCTGGGTGTGGAGAAATCTCAAAAGGGTGACTGACAGGCACTGAATTTTAATGTGATGTAAAAGTCTCTTATTTCAGGTGGGATTTGGCTGTAATAACACTTCATGTTGTTTTGCAGCTTCCAGAGCTCTTTCAGAGCCACATCCTTTAACTTGGTAGAAACGTGGCTGATACAGATTTAAGTGTTGAAATCGAACTCTTAGGAACATTACTGTCACTTGCAAAAGAGAAGCAAATCCAGCACAGAGGAAATTTTCTTGCAGTTTTGGGGCTCTATTTTTAAACTATTCAACATGTTAGTGGTTTTGTTTCCTACTCAGCTAATTCTTTTATCGCTTTTGTTTAATAGACTGTTAGCAAAGCAGAAAGAAATATTCCAGGGATTCTTCTCACACTATCTAAAATGTATTTTCTCTTTTGATTAAAAATTGTTTTGTTTACTCATATTTGAAAACTTCACAACTGATTGTGTCATAAAATCAATGTTAATAATTTGTCACGCCGGAATCCAGAGATGGTGTACGAGAGCATACCTTTCCATGTGAGTGAGGAAGCACCCTTTATGCTTGGTTGATTTTGTTGGGAAAATTGGGGTATCCCCTTCCCCCACTGAGTGCTGGGAGTGGAGTCCTTATGATATCTCGAGAAAACGAATTTTCTGAGGTTTGCACGGGATGGTGAGTGATTTTTATTTGCATGGAATTTTATCATGGGCTTTCCAAAGTCCCTTTTCCCTTAGTCCAGTTATAGAAGCAAAGCCAGTGACCAGAGTTTCCCTTCCATGTTGCAGCCGAGTGTTGTAAATGTTTCCCTCCATGTCCCGTGGTTCAGGGTTCAGGATCTGGAAGAGGAGCCGCACACAAATGAAAGAGAAAAGATAAGAGATAATTTGGGAATACTGGGGGCCAGGCGGGTAAGTCCAACTCAAGAGGAAGGACTTCCACTGGTGCTCCGGCCTCACCAACCATTTTATAGTCAGAGGTAAACAAGGTAGTGGTTACCATAGTTACACTGTTCTCGTGCATTTCACTTGTTTTGGCAGCACTTGCTATACCGTTGTGTGTGGGGGTCCACATGGCTGTGGGCCACAGGAGAATGCCAGGAAACAGGAGTGAGAGCCCAGGAAGCAGGAATCAACCAGGAGCGTGAACTTTTTTTGTTTAGGGGATTAAATATCTCAAATCTTTGTGTGCTTGCAGTGGCCATGCCCATTCTGGCCATTGACCTATTCCCAGGTGTGACTGACAGTCAAGTACCCTCCGACGTTGTCCCCAGTTCATCACCCCAACTTTACTGAGCATGCGTCTATTTCCTCTATGTCCCGTCTTTCCCCCCAGGCATCTGCAGGGAATAGACTGGTGTCTCCATGGGGAGTGTAAAGCTATAGCTTCCTGGTGAAGCTGCCCAGTGATACGCCTAGAATATTTGGCCTTCCCTTTACTCCTTTCCTGTTATTAATAAGTAGGATAATTGCAATGGTATCATGCTCATGGTTTGCATTCTCTGATTTAAGAATTGTAGAGAGCTTGTGGTGGAGTCTATATATAAGAGGGTCCTCAATATTAGAAGATCATTTATGGCAGCGGTTCTCAACCTGTGGGTCGCGACCCCTTTGGGGGTCGAACGACCCTTTCACAGGGGTCGCCTAAGACCATCGGAAAACACATATAATTACATATGTTTTTGTGATTAATCACTTTGCTTTAATTATGTTAAATTTGTAACAATGAAATTGGGGTCACCACACATGAGGAACTGTATTAAAGGGTCGCGGCATTAGGAAGATTGAGAACCACTGATTTATGGGATACTGGTTTAGGAATTGAAAAGTGAGCTGAAAAAGAAAAATGATTAAAAAAATTTTAAAAAAAGAGGCAATAGTATTTACTTGAAAGGAATGTGTGATATTGAGCATAATATATCCTTCAAGGTAGGGGTGTTTGAATGAAACATTACTTATTACTCTGATACACAAAACACAAAAATGATGAGATTCCCCAGGCAATTTTTTTCAAAATTGGAAACTTAGAACTGGCTTGCCAATTTAAGCAACTGGTTTAAAATACTGTCGGGTTGTTTTGTTTTGTTTTTTAAATACTGTCAGTTTTGGTATTAGTTTTAAGTGTTCTAAGTTATTGTTGCTTTGAGCTGCCTTATAATTACTATATGCTTTAAACATTTCGAAGGGTTTGAAATGCTCACATAGGAACACAGCTGATATTTTAAGTAATTGAGAATATCTTATTTTGCAATAGAAGACAATGAGTAAGATGATGCTAAATTCAGCAAGGATGCTGCCATATCTAACAGATCTTAAATTCACTTAAACGTTCAGACTCATAAGATGAACATAGGCTACAGATCATACCCCTATTTAGAAGGATATGCTAATTTGCCAGGAGGATAGCATTAGGTACTTCTCTTCAGTTGGTGTCTTTGTAGCAGTTTGCACAGTGGTAAGGAGATGAGACCTAGATGGACAGAAGTGGGGGTTGCCCTGACTTCTACCCTAATGGCCCATAGGAGCCAGACTACCTTGTACCAATTCTATTGACAGGGCTTTCAGCTGCCCATAAGGGACATACAGTTACAAGAGTCACTGCACTCAGGGAAGGCCAAAAAGTATGAGGTCCCTATTTATCGTTCTCAGAAGGTTATTGTAATCCAGACACAGTTGGCCAGTCAGGGGTCATTTTTACCGTAAGCCATGTGGTCTGTGTAGGTAGCGTGGTTGACACTCTGACATTTATCAGGGAACCTGGGTAACAAAACTAGACAGTTCACCTAAGGTTAGATTCTCATGCATTAGGGGGAAAGGATTTTGTTAACCTGTAGCCATGGGCACAAAGCAAAACCATTACCCTTCAAGGACAACCAGTTTTCTTGTGCAGACAGGATGTACACTCTAAGTCCCTGGAAAGAATTGTACAATTGGACACCTCGTCTCAGACACAACAGCTGTAGTGTGTGATCCTTGTTGGATGGAAAAAAGAAAATCACTGTAAAGAATATTTTTTATTAAGTTTATTGGGGTGACATTGTTTAATAACATTATATAAGTTTCAAGTGCACAGTTCTATAATACGTCATCTGTATATGCATTGTGTGTTCACCACCCAAAATCTAGTCTCACTTCACCATAAATTTGACCCCCCTTTATCCTCTTCATTCTCCCCTCCCCTCTTCCCCTCTGGTACCCAACCCTTCTGTTGTCTGTGTCTATAAGTTTGTTGTTTTGTTCATATTTTTGTTGCTTTCTGTTTTATATCACACATGTGAGTGAAATCATATGATTCTTGTTTATAAAGGACTTCTTTTTGGGGGGCAGT